TATTTTGTACTTCTATAAGAATACTAATCCAGAAGAGAAATATGCTCATTACATACACATTACTCCCGGGTGCATGAATCAAAATAACCCGCACTAGCATGTAACCTGCATGTCATGTAATACACATCACGTCATATGACACTACATGTCATATAGCACACGCACACCTGACATGCCTGAATGATGTAAATGTCATAAAACAGTCATGTCGATATGAATAATGAGTGTGGACCGCTGGTCACATAAATAATATAGATCAATCAAATGTGAGAAGAGCTATGGTGTGTGCGGAGTACGCCCAACACTACAAGCACTATGTACATGATGACCATACGAAGTGGAGAGGTGATAGTATGAGCAAATAACCAGGATGATTGAGTCATGATGATAATGATGATGCCGATGTGTGTATCGAGGTCTTTAAGTAGACCTGATGAATTAAAGCTTACCTCCATAAAACCTAGTTTCTTGAACATCGAGAGACTGTGCAGATTTTCCTCTCCAATTTTGGCAGTAAATCGCTGAGTAGACAGCTCAACTATTGCTACAAAAATTTACATAAATCGTTTGTGTTATGATCGTATATTTATCTGAAAGTTTACATGAATCATCTATGTTATGTCATGTATTTATGTCGTTCTAAAATAAGCAACTGATACTTATGTGCTGGCCCATACCACCAAACCAATATAACCAAAACCCAATGCGCATAAAAACCAATATCTTTCTAGCAGCCTTTTGCAGACTCAAAAGGTGACTATTCAGGTATTTGTCTGTGACACATGAGATGCTCACCTACCATATCGCATCATGAGTAGCAGGGCTTCCTTGCCAAAACCTCTACCTCTACATTCATCTTCTGCAATCATGATCTCCACCTCGGCAGAGTGCATGTTCTCCGCATCGAAAAACAGATTCACATCTCCCACCATTGAATCTAGAACAGAACAGACAGATCTATGGTGAATCAATGACTGGTGAGAGACAGACAGGCATCCAGACTGGTGGCAAAGATGCCAGGAGAGAGAAAGACCAACTATATAAACAGATCGGAATGCTACACACCTATTTCACCTTTCCCAGCATGGCACTTCTCCTTGTCCAGTACTATGAAGGTACATTCTGGAATATAATAGAATAAATGTGAAAAATGTACACATTTGCAATTTATCATTGCACACTCTGTGTTTTCAATAAGTACTATGCTTTAGGACAAGGGGAAGGCAAACTTTTTTGGATAGGGACCAGAGAAAGATGTGCCCCTCGGGGCATGATCTATGCATTTTGAACTAATAAGATAATGGGGAAAAATTTCCAAAAAAACTTAAGGCAATAACAATTCATAATCATCATTAGTTAGTGTGATACAGTACTTGATTGGCAGCCTAGATTAGGCCCATGGGATACATGTTGCCGACCCTGCTTTAGGATAGAGAGTTTGGGGAGCTCTTAATGGGAGCTTGAGTGCAAATAACAAATTTGGGAAACTTCAGGTGTCTAAACTACGAGAAGTTAGTGATCTACTTCTATAATTAGTTCCAATAAATGGGCACAAATCAAAAGACATTGATGTTAGTCTCACAGCCGGGTTGGCTTGCTCAAAAATAAGCTCCTTACTGTTTTCATCATGGAGCCATGACTGTTGCATCGTGTACTCTTCTTCCAGGGTCAGTGGTTCGGATGCTGTCAGCACTTGTAGTTCTTTTGATTGCATCCACTCATGGTACCTGTGAACACAGTCTTATGAGGTCATTATAAGGGAATACCGATCTTCACATCACCGTGATAAAACTTGTGGAAGATTATATTTATAGGTTTTGCGTGAGTTTTTGGAATTTGTAAATAGATGTGGATTGTATATATATGCAAGAGTAGATAATACCACACACAATGTGTTATTATCTACTCTTGATATATGCCATATAATATGGATAATGTATGTGGAATGTAATTATGTGTGACGGGGGGGGGGTTCGACTCGAGCTGCACAGTTCATGACATGAAAGTAACGTTCCCCACCTTGGAGCCCCGGCCCCCCCACTCCGAGGTCGGAAGGTACGCGCATGCGCGTGTCCCCAAAATCTCGGTAAAGGGGTCTTTTTCGCGCGCGACAAAATCCGGCCCAAGAATTGTAAAAACGGGGCGTGTATTTGCTTTTCAGCACCGGAGATTTCTTAAAAAGGGGGTGTTTTTCCTCTCGCTTCTCTTCATCTTGAATATCATAGAACCACTTTATCAAATCCCCTGGATCAAATTCCTGAAATTTCCTGCTAGTTTCGAAAGCTCATTCAGGATATTTCATTTGCAAATAAACAATAATCTATAGTCCCCTCGATCCCTGAACCTACCCTCGTAGTGTAGACTGGTACCCGTCGACAGTTCCACACCTACAGCTACCGTCACTCAGTCAGTGTAGCGAAGGGATACGTACCGGTGTACAGCGCCGAATCTTTGACTTGCGAAACCATATCTGAGATAGCCCCGCCCCTCCTATGATATCAGGATCCTAGATGCGTATCGCATAGCCACTTCGCATCATATGCTCAAATATGGCACTTCTCACTTCAGCTAAGACACGCAGATGGTGAGGAGGAGGAGGGGAGAAAGGGAAACTGGTGGCGAAGAGAAGGAGGGGGAGAAGGGAAGAAGGAGAGGGGGGAAGAGAGAAGCTGGTGGATGAGGAAGAGGGAGAAGGGAACTGGTGGAGGAGAGGAGGGGAAAGGGAAGAAGCTGGTGGAGGAGGGGGAGAAGGGATAAGTTGGTAGAGAAAGGAGGAGGGGAGACAGCTGGTGGACGAAGCAGGAGGGTAGAAAGCTGGTGGACGAGGAGAAGAGGAGGGGCGAAGCTGTGAGAAGGAGGAAGAGGAGAAGCTGGTGAGCAAGGAGGAGGGAAGGCTGGGTGGAGAAGGAGAGGGAGCACTGGTGGAGAAGGCGGCGGGAGAAGCTGATGAGAAAGAGGAGGGAGAAGCTGGTGAAGAAGTGGAAAAGCCACCTTCTCCCTCCTTCCTTCTCACCAGCTTCTCCCTTTCTCCCTCCTCCTTCTGCCACCAGCTCTCCCTTCTCGCCTTCCTCCCTCCTCGCACCAGCTTCTCCCCTCCTCTTCTCCACCACCGCTCTCAGCCCTCCTTCTTCTCCACAGCTCTCCCTTCTCCCCCTCCTTCTCTCTCACAGCTTCCTCCCCCTCCTCCTTCTCCACCAGCTTCTCCTTCCCCCCTCCCTTCTCCACCGCTCTCCCCTTCTCCCCCTCTTCCTTCCACTCAGCTTCTCTTTTCCCCTTCCTCCCCCTTCTCCACCAGCTTCTCCTTCTCCCCTTTCCTCCTCCTTCTCCACCAGCTTCTCACCCTCCTCTTTTCTCCACCAGCTTTTCCCTCCTCTTTCTTCCACCAGCTTCTCCCTTCTCCCTCCCTTCTTCCACCAGCTTTCTCCAATTTCTCTCCTTCCTCCTCCTTCTCAACACTAGCCATTTCCCTCTCTCCTTTTCCACCTCCTCACTCCTTTCTCTGTCACCAGCTTCAGCCCCCTCCTCCTTCTCCACCAGCTTCTCCCCTCCTCTTTTCCACACTTCTGCCTCTTCCATCTTCACTACTTCTCCCTAACTCCACCTACACGTATACTCTATACTTCCTCCTCCCTCCCTCCCCCCTCCTACACGCTCCTTCGCTACCCTGTACCTACGAACTTGTCCTTCCGTGCAGCAACTCTATCTAAGCCCAGACAGCTGTCATCTGGCTCGGGTCGGGCGGGCGGGCTATCTCAGATATTCGCACGCCACCGGAGTGAAGGTGCGAACGGGTTACCAGTCTATACGTAGTGTTCGCCGATTTAGGGGTTCTCTCCAAGACAGGAAAAACCCCGCAAAAAAAGGGTTTTATACATTTTGGCAGTCCTGAGATAGGGGGTGCTTTCCAAAGGAGGGAACGAGCATATGCGTACCCTAAATACATCGAGGGGGGGGGGGGCGGCGTTGAGCTATAAGTCTAGAGACCTGAACCATTGGGCACATCCCACTTTAGCACCTTATATCACGAAGTGATCACCGATTTCTGTGTATCCCCCACTGATGCAGCAGACTTCCGTTATCTCACTGATTGATGCACCAATTGTTTAACTGGCCCACATAGCCACTGCTAAAAAGCGCGACACTATCAGACAAAACATACTACTATTATAACCATAAAAATTATGGTTGTGTATTTTTATTTTTATTATATGATTATTCTTATTACCAATTACACTATTGTTTATTAGTACACTATTAATTACTACCTTATCACTTGTTACCTCACTCCAATTACAACTATTAATTACTAATACTATTACACTCTTAAATTAGAAGAGAAGAGGAAGCATGATGGTAGATGAAGAGAGGAAGCCATGATGGTTTAGAGGAGAGAGAAGCCGTGACATGGTTTAGAGGGAGAGAGGAACCCTAGGTTAGAGAGAGACGCCGAGAAGCCACATTCGAGGGTTAGAGAGAGAGAGAAGCCGTGAGTTAGAGGGAGAGAGGAAGCGTGTTGTTAGAGGGAGAGAGAGAAAGCCATGAGGGTTAGAGAAAGAGAGAAAGCCAGAGGGTTGAGAGGGAGACGAGGAAGCCATAAGGTTTGAGGGAAGAGGATAGCCGTGATGGATTAGAGGAGCGAGCGAAGCCATGATTTGAGGAGAGAGGCAAGCCGTCACGTTAGAGGAGAGAGAAGCCATGATGGTTAAATGAGAGAGGAAGCCGGATGGTTTCAGAGGGAGAGAGGAAACCGTGATGGTTAGAGGGAGAGAGGAACGGGAGCCGGTGATGGCCTGGAGGGAGACGACGGAAGGGCAGCCGTGATATACCTATTCCGTGGCATTCACCTCGTGATACTGTCAGCATCAGGTGCGTAACTGACTTGTGTTTTTAAACAGGCCACTCTGTGGCATCATCTCGTGATGTACACTATTCTGTGCATCACCGTCGTGCCTTACACTATTCTGTGGCCATCACCCGTGATACCTTGTCAGGTAACGGTGCGTAAACTGACACCTTGTGTTTTAAAAGGCCAATCTGTGCATCATACTCGCCGATGTCACACTATTGTATACGACTCCCTGTTACAGGCTTCCCATCCCGACGCGGCGCGATCGCCTGGCGACGCGAAGCGGAGGTATTGATTTGAACAGCGTTGCCCCCTGGCAACCCAGAGGCAATGCGATACCAGCCGCCCGTGCCGCCGTTATGGCCGCCGCCGTCAAGATGCTGAGGGGATCCTAATAGCCTGGCGTGATCGTGCGGTGACTGCAAAACGTCACTGTTAACACTAGGGCTAAAGCGCAGTGTCCATAAGTTATGACGATAACTGCAGACTGACAGCTAGCACATCCAGTCATGCATGCAACTACGTTCAAGACGGCTTAGTTGGCCGCCTAATCAGGCGTGAATTCTATGCAATGCCGAAAGCAGCGCCATTTCAGCGCAACCGTGAACGCGTTCCTGCGAATAGACGGCGCCACCGGGTCCTGGCAGGGTAGTGGCAGCAGAATGCGGTCTTTCCCGCGTTAGGCTGCCGCCCCCCCCCCCCATCCAGAGCAAAGGTGGTTGGAGGCCAAAGCGAAGCCAACCGAACGCGGATGAGAGCGGCACGCGGTGACTTGGCCGGCACGCGGCACGTCGGCTGAGCATGCACCGCGCGCGTGCGACGCTATATAAACGGCTGCAGCAAGCAGAAATCGAGGACTTGCTCC